CTCCACGACTTCTATCTTCTTCTAAGGAACCGGGCCTGGAAGATCGCAGTAGATAGGGTTTCACCGGCTTAGCCTTAACCTTGCGATATATGAGCACACGGTGGCAACAATTACGGTCCAGTCGTACAGTTAATAAATGTTTATCTCTTTTCAAATAACAATGTGATAAGCTCCTCTTCAGGATTTGAGTTAATTGGAATGGAAACTCACTCGTAGTATTCAGAGGACGCAGAGGTCGTTTCGCTCATCGGTACGCTAGTATTTGTACTGTCTAAAGAAAGAAGTGATAATACTTTCGTAGATTTTTTATTATATCTGATTACACAGCATAAGTACGAAAGTCGGAGAGAGCTGGGATATCCATTGAGATTTAAAGAAATGGGGAGAAAGTCTATCTTTTTTAAAACTTTCCCTTTAGTCTCTAAAAGTCGATAAAGTGTCTGCAAAGGATTGGATCTAATTCGCGGGTACTATTTGCGCAGTGCTTGTTTTCTATTGGTTAGTTGTATTTCACATTTTAATTCTCGCGCGCCAAACATTAGGTTATTTAAATAATTATTCCTATTATTTTCTAATTTTATACGCCCTAAATTATTTATTTATTCTTTCCCTTGATAGGAACCACCCATATAAACCCAATTAAGACAGAATTCTGGGGGAAGGGTAAGCTAAAGTGGGTGACCAATTTTACCTTTGCCAGTATGCACAAAAACATAAAAAGTTTGATTCAGAAGTCACTGTTTTCGAAAAACGACCTGCTTTGTGTATTCCTGGTTTAAGCAGAATCAAGTAAGAGTAGAATCTGACCCCTTCGATCCTTCTACACCACTCCTCCTTATTACTACTGATTAGTTGCTTCAACATTCGCTAACTCTATCCTCCCTTATATTATTGTACTGCCTGATGATGAATTAATAAAAAAACGTTCGTTCGCCTAACTTGACTTCACGAAAAGTCTTACTGGTCTGGTCCAGACATGTGATGTCGTTGTTCCACCAGTTGCCACAGGTCGACCACGGCAGGTGTGAATTGAGGCTTGCAAGGAGGTAGAGGATGGCCTGTGCAACGATTACATTGTAGTAGACAGTAACCAGCCATACGACGGTTGTCATTGCGTAGCCGATACCTTAAAAATGCAAAGTGTAATCAAATTGCTAGAAAACCGCTAAGAATCTGGTGATAGGCAAATAAATTGGGGGCAGAAATAAGGACCCCTCAAACTCCAAGTGGCCTCAGGGTAGGCCTCTCTCTAATTCCAGCGTCCTGCTAATAACTCCAAAGACAAGTGCCCTTGAATTTAGCGAAAAACCGTCTGCAATAGGAGGGGGGGTCTTTATAACCGTGCCCTACCAGCAGCTGCTGGGGACGAATAGAAAACCTGAAAACCAAACCGGCGAATAGTCATTAGCTCGGGCCGCAAGAGACCACTTTCATAAGGGCTACTTTGGATCAACGTCGATTCGCCACGATCACATGGCTCTATGGGCTGACTTTCGAAAAAACCTATTACCTCAAGATCATAAGGTACTGCACGTAGTGCTCCGATGCAGACCTTCTCAATAGTATTTTGCGCGGACAAAGTAAATGTGACTTGCGTGGTACTTTCAATTCATCAAAACTTCTGAGGATGTCTTTTTGGTAATTGGCTTGATCTGCACGAAACAGCGGCCGCAGTAACTCTAAAATAATGATTTCACTTGCTGCACAGCATCAAAATGCAGTAGGGATGATATGTGGACACTCAGACTTGTTCTTGTTCAAAGAGCGCACGTAGAGGACGAGGGAAGACGACTTTCTGCATGCGGCCGAACAGAATTAGCATGCCAGTTAGCTAAATACAGGGTACATTATGACCCTTTCCTGTCGCAGGCAACAACTTTCTCTGGAAAACGAACCCATACGTGCACTGTGTAGTACGTCCTTTTTTGCTTAAGTGGTGCCAACCTTCACCTCAAGAGAATCTTTTCGTCTGAAAAATTGTTTTTCCAGTTAGCATTGCTAGCAAGTACAAGGGAGACTGAAATGACCATTTCTGCCTCATGAGCCGTCATCAGCCAGTCATATCCGACCCTAAGTGTTGGCCCCCCGAGGCTCGCATTAGCTCTATGGCAGAGCGGGACCAGTAAGTTCCGCTAGCGATCGTGAACGTTAATCAACGGGTGTAAATTGCCTATCTTCAGATGCAGAAGTCTCAGCCTTTTAGGAGCCAACTTTGGTTGCTTTTGATCAAATGTTATACAAGCAAGATCGTCATCCAAAGATGGAGGAAATTACAAGACATTGGTCAAGCGAGGAGGGAGAAAATTACTTTAGAGATATGCCAAACATTTAAAAAAAGTGGACTTATGCTCCGTATGGAAACTGTCCCAATGAAAATTCTATGAAGAAGAAAGGAAGCCCCATGGCCGCTCCGCCATTCTATTTTTCACAACCTAATTTCAATGAACTGAGTATTTTGTCCCATAGACTGCATGAAAGCTCGTGTGCTCCTCAATAGAAACACGAATTCCCTTCTTGATGGTCTGCTTTGCCAATCAGAACTCGTTATTTTGCAGTTAAGCAGCTGAAGAGTTTTCGAACGGCTTGACCAAATTGAGTTCAGTTCATGTTTAGTGGTGTTTTACGGAAGAAAATATGTTGAATATTTAAAAGTAACCAACGCGACACTACGTATGTCTACAAGTACTCCAAGGTCACTTACTCAGTACTCATTGCACGTATAAGTTTTATGCAGAACTTCCTGTGAGTATTGTGCGCCTACCAAGTAAATGTGACTCGTGCGGTTCTTTTAATTTGTCAAGACTTCTGAGGATTTCGTTTTTTCAGTAGTTAGCCAAATATCTTTAAAAAACGACCACAATAACCTGAAAAAAAGGAGTCTATTGTGTGTAAAACTACCATGGGTGGACATTTGAACCCGTTCTTGTTCAAATAGCGCATGAAGGGGACAAGGAGGCGAGACTGTCTCTGCGTGGCCGAAGAGGAGTAACTTGGCGGTCCGCTAACTGCCAGCCTCATTATGACCCTCTCCTGTCACATGCAACATCTTTCTTCGAACATCTAATCACTGTGCGTATTAAGTTTCTTTCGTTTGGGAACCACCACTTTCTTCAACCTGTACCTTGAGAAGATCTGATTGTCTGTGAATGTTTCTAATTCCACTAGCTAAATTCTAGGCCTACTTAGCTTTAAGCATCTGTTTTATGATAAAGGAAGGCCCCTTAAAGATGCGAAAAATGGGCAGAAATGTTTGCAGGCAATGGGCGTAAATATGAATTTGAGAAAAGGGGTCAAACCTTTGAAAAGTGGACTAATGCTCCATATGGAAATCGGCCCGACGCTTGCAAACTGTCCGAAGGCGAATTCCATGAAGAAGATCGGAAGGCCCATGGCCGCCATTGTAAGGATATAGGGTATGAGAAAGGCACCTAGAATGAGGAACACGGACTGTTTTAATCAGAAAAAAACAAAAAATCTGACATGCGAACGCTCTCTCGAGGAAGAGAATAACGCACTTAAATTCCTTGCATGTCGCCAACTATCCATTAACCGGAGGTCTGTACAAAACACATTTAAGTAACATTATTTTTGCAAAAATTCCAATTGAAAATTTCAGAAGATGAAATGGCGAACATGCGTTTTTTCGATAATTCTCAACAGGCCTTGACATTGATATGATAATCAAGCAAATAAACTATGTGAGTTGGCAGAAAAAATAGAACGGTTCTCAGGGCAGGGGGAACGGGAGGGGGGGGAAATGGAGTCAAAATCTGATCAGCGTTAGGAGGAGCTGTTAGTCGGCTGAAAGGTGTAAAAAGTTCCATTCTAGCGCATATGGTAGACTCAGACCATCGGGTGGATGCCAAGGAGGCCTTCCGAGTGATCTATAAGGTACCGTCAAGCTATTCAAAATATCTTGGACAGCGTTTGTTGGCTACGACAGAAGCGGCCGCCATCAGGTTACGCCGACCAGTCCTATGCACCCAAAAGAACTTCGTCGCGGCGCCGCAGTTACCATGGTTAAAAGCTGCTAATCCAACGGCCAGCAGCTTAGAACCTCAGCCGACTGCCAGTTCCCCCTAATGCTGAGCCGATTTTGACCCCCCTTTCCTCCCCCCCCATTCCGCCTGCCCTGACAACCGTTCTATTTTTTTTTACCAAACCGCGTAGTTTATTTACTTAAG